TGACGGGTAGAAAGGATTTTGAGAGCTACAGATGGGGTTCGTGGTTGCAGAGCATCCCAGCTGAAAGGAAGAAAGGAAAGGTCACCCTACCCGGTTTGGCTCAGTGGATAGTGTCGGCGGCCTGCGGACTCAAAGGTCCCAGGTTCGATTCCGGTCAAGGGCATGTACCTTGGTTCCAGGCACATCCCCAGTGGGTAGTGTGCAGGAGGCAGCTGATCAATATCTCTCTCTCATCAATGTTTCTAACTTTCTATCCCTCTCCCTTCCTCTCTGTAAAAAATCAATATATATATATATATATATATATATATATATATATATATATATATATTTTTTTTTTTTTTTTTTTTTTTTTTTTTTTTTTTTTTTTTTTTAAGAAAGAAAGGAAAGGTCGTTGCTTACATTGATTGTGCTTACCCTGCATTCCAGGTGGGATAAGAGAAGCATTGCTCACTCTATCCCCTTAACTTCTCAGCCTTAAGAGGCGGGACTATTATTTTTATCCTCTTTGAACAGTGAGGAAACTGAGGCCCAAAGAGATTAAAAGATCTTCCCAAGCTAAACGGAGTAGCTCAGCGAGAAGTTAGCCTTGTTCTGGCTAGTGCCCACACCTGCGCTCTTCCCCTTGGTCCAGTGCAATGGCTAAGGAGAGGCAGGCTTGGAGGAGGGAGGTGGGTCCGGCCTGCTGTTGGCCAGGGAGAAGGATTAACGTGGAGGATCACTGTGGAAGAACATGTATTTCTGAACACTGTGCCTAGGATTTAGGGTTTCATTCTGAAGTCCGTGGTGAGTCACCAGTGGGTTATGAGACAGAATTCTCTGGTTTGAGGGCAGCAGTGATCGGTCCAGGGAGTGTTGCAGTGAAGCCTGGTGGAATGCCTGCAGGAGCCTCTGAGGTAGATGCGAGGTGTGCTCGGCAGTGAGGTGGCCGGTGAGAAGCTTCTGGTTTGTGTACTTGCGTTATGCTCGGTTCACCACCCAAGACCAAAGTTTGAGTTCTTTAGCCTTCAACAGGTGTTTTAGGCAGATTTGTTGTCATTTATGAGGGGAGCAAATAGGATTTTAGGTTAATTAGCTTAGAGTTGAGGCAGCCCCACCTGGATTCCTTGTGAAAGACATTTTAAAAGAAGGCATGTGACAGAGAGTACCTTCTGCTCGAGTTAACAGACCCCTCAAATGACGTGTGTCCACACTTGAGGTTGGGATGTCAGTGGGATTATAGGGAATAAGTTAAGGTAGAAGAGGCAGTAGGAGAGAGACATAGAAAAAGGGAGGCCTTGGAGATAGGTTCAGGGAGTAAGCCTGGATGAGGTGCTGCTGCCCACTGCTCTCCTGACTCAAGTCTCATGATGTACCTTCGAGTCTAGGAGAAAAAGAACAGAGATATGAGGGTCCTGCAAATGGCTGCCACTTTTCTCAGATTTGCAGGGGAGGCCTAGCTGCAAATCAAGGCTGGCTGCTGCTAGTGCTGGGCCTGTGGCCACTTAGCAAGAGGTCCTGGACACACCAAGGCCAGATACTTGTTTGAGAGATTTTAGGAAAGTCTGAAGCATGAGCCGACACAGGCCATTTGTATGGAAAAGCCACTGAAAACAGCTTGGGTGGGTGGGGTCTCAGCAAATCATCAGGGTGGGCAAACAGTGTGAGCCAGGTTGGAGACTCAGAAATGGTGCCTGCCTACCAGCTCTGTGAGGAAAGAGCTCAGCAAAGGAGCAACAGACTCTATCTGCACTTCTGTCTGGGAAAAAGCTGCCCATCTGCTTCTCACCCTGAAGCCAGACAATTCACTTCCTCCCTGTCTGTCTCCAGTTCCTTTCAAGCTGCTCTCCAGAGCTGGAGCTCAGAGGGAGTTGAGTCTTAGTAAGTCCGTGGGCAGGTCCTTTAAGAGGAACTGCCTGGGACTCCAGAAGCCTTCCGTCTCACTCAGCCTCAATCCCTGCTGGTTTTTACATCCCAAAGTTATGGGGACTTCTCTTCCCAGCTCTGAAGCCTCGGGATGGGGGGGGGGGGGGCCGGGGGGACGGACTGTTGTGGGGCTGGGACCCTTGTTCCTCTGGGGGGACCTCTGCAGCCAAGCTATCCCTCCTGATTTTTATCCACCACACATAGGTGTGAGACCAACCCATTCGATGCCTCTGCCCCTCCTGTCAGTCTTGATGTGGCTGCTTCTTTCTATCCTTAGTTGTAAAACCTCTCCCAACTGCACTTTGGACTCAGGCTTTTTATCTTGATTCCTGGGACTTCTGATAGGGCTGAATGTAGTATGCTTATCTGGCCGTAACTTTAGAGAGTGGTATAAGATCAAAAAGATAATATACCTTCTTATAAATTACCTTGTGGGTGCTAGTCTTTCAAAGACCAGATGAAGAAATCTTAACATAGAGATTGTAGAAAATTGGAACGGAACCTTTAGAGATATTTAGTCCAACCTTTTTTACAGTAAAAAACAACCAAGGACTAGCTGTCCTGGGATGCCTGGATGGAGAAGGTTGCTTTCCAGGCCCTGGCACTCTTCTTCTGCCTCCTGATCCGAGTGCTCCCATCACAGAATGATGACTTCCCAGCTCGAAACCAGTGGTCCTAGTTTCCATACAAATGGCCTGTGTCGGCTCATGCTTCAGACTTTCCTAAAATCTCTGTGTTGACCTATGTCCATGGAAAACTGTGTTAGCCCTTAATGCTTTTTTGTGTATAGAAGATGACAAAGTAGAAGGAAGCCACGAAAAAGAAGTGAATAGAACAGTTAGATTCTAAGCAGGGGGTTCAGTAGGTACACCCACTGCCAGGATTTACTTCTGAGGTCAGACTGGGGAAGGTTTAGCAATGTGTCTAGACCCTTGCAATCCTTTGTTCCCTGTGGGGGAGGCTCTGGAGTCCTGTGTTCTCAGTTGCATCTTTCTCAAGGCACTGAGATGTGAATCCTTTCTTATTTGAAGTTAAGGAGCTCGAAACCAGTTGTCCTAGTTACACATCAGAATTAACTCAAGAGCTGTGTAAAAGGCTCTTCAAAACTCTAGTTTAATGGTCTGGAGGAGGCTAGAGGTTAGCAACTGTTACAAGCTCCCAGGTGATCCAGTTATGCAGCTAGAATGGGAACTATAGCTTCCTCCTAGTGGTCCTTACCCCTAATTGCATCCGATCACATGGGAAGCAGCCAACCTATTACTGCACCGCCGGGCTTCACACCTAGAAATTTCTGATTCAGTAGGAAGTGTGGTGTGAGGCTTGTGATTTCTAACTAATTCCTGGGTGATGCTGCTGCTGCTGGCTTGGAACTGCACTTTTTTATTTGTTTATTTATTTGTTTGTTTGTTTATTTTAAATATATTTTATTGATTTTGTACAGAGAGGAAGGGAGAGAGATAGAGAGTTAGAAACATCAATGAGAAAAAGTCATCGACCAGCTGCCTCCTGCACACCCCCTACTGGGGATATGCCCACAACCAAGATACATGCCCTTGACCAGAATCGAACCCGGGTCCCTTCAGTTCCCAAGCCGACACTCTATCCATTGAGCCAAACCGGTTTCGGCAAACCACAGTATTATATTTTCAAAGGTTCTGTGACCCAGGACTTGAAGGCCCTGCCTTCATGGTCCATCCCCAGAGTTTTCATTCTGAAAGTCTGGGGTGGGCTCAGGAATTTGCGTGTCTTATAAGTTCCCATGTGATGCTTATGCAGCGGACTGGGGGACACACTTTGAGCACCAGGGCCAGTCCTTTGGTTGGACACTGGGATGAGATCAGGCACAAGGCAGGCCACCTCAGATCTCTTCCCTCTGGTCAGCAAACTGTGGCTCTAGAGCCCCATGCAACTCACGAGCCGTGGTTTGCCGCTCTGTTGACTAATAAGTTTGCCGACCACTGACCTAGACTCTCGATTCCAATAATTACAGGCTGTTGTTGTTTCTTGTGATTAAGCCCCTATCCCAGTGGTTGGCAAACTCGTTAGTCAACAGAGCGGCAAACCGCGGCTCAAGAGCCAAAGTTTGCCTACCACTGCCCTAGGCTTTAGGAGGAAGCAGGGACCTGCAGTTTACCTGGACAAAGAGGAGCATCTCAAGAGTGTTTGTCTTACAGGCGTCTTCAAACTACGGCCTGAGGGCCACATGTGGCCCACAGAGGAGTCTGATCCGGCCCGCCAGGTTTTTTGGGCAGTGAGCACAGCCGAGGTGTTACAGTAGGAATTAGTAGTTCATATAGTCCGGCCCTCCAGCTCTCTGAGGGACCGTGATCTGGCCCCCACTTTAAAAAGTTTGAGGACCCCTGGTAGAACGTAGCGGACAGTGGACATGCACAGGGTGGGCAAATCAGGCCTTTCCTCTGGAACACTGCAGTGGGTCTGTGGGTCTCCTCTAGGCCAGGTGTCCTCATTGTGTGCACAAGAGGGCACTGAGGCCCCCCACAGTGAGCTGCCACTGGAGCTTGCAGCCCAATTCTGGGGTGCTTGCCCACTGTGCTGAGGTGAATTCTGAGGAATGGGCACAGCTTCCTCAGTCTGTAGAGGTCTAATGCATGGATCCAGCAGATGACACAGCCACAGGAAATAATGATGAGGCTGAACTAAATGACCCCTAGACTTCTAGCAGTGGTTCCCGAAGTGCGAGCACTTGTTAGAAATCAGAATTCTTAGAGCCCGCCCCAGGTGGCCTGCTGCTGGATCAGAAACCCTGCCAGCGATCTGTGTGGTAATAAGCCCTTGGGGTGACTCTGGTTGGACGCAGAGAAGCAGCTTGGAGAACTGCAGCCAGGAGCGCTCCCGGGTGCACTCCTCCTCCTCTCACCCCGTCCACCCCTTGTGAAATCGAGGCTCAAGTCGTTTCAACTTAAGCTTTATTCACACTCCCCTGTCATTATGTGTTTTGCTCAGAGCAAACTTGCCTCAGCCAGCCCAAGGTCAATTTTCAGTGATTCTGAAACTAATGAACTTTCATTGATTAGGGCTTTAATGTTCTGATAGTGTTGGTAATTGGTTTTTCTTCTTCTTTTTTTTTTTTTTAGTTAGTGACAGGAGTATGGGAAGGCCAATACAACTTCTTCTGTCAGGGTACACGGAGTGCGGGCGAAGCAGATATGAAGGTACTGTCCGTCTTTTTTTATTTTAAATCGTTTTTCAAATTAAAAAAAAAAAATTGCACAAAAGACAAAACAGCTTATAACCTCACTGTCCAGGTCTTCCCTGTTGACATTTTTAAGAGACCCTTAAAAAGCAGCGTGTACACATAATAATGAAATTTGAACAACATGTAAAGGTACAAAATGAATACTAAAGTTTCCTTCTCTGTAAAAGTAAGCCCTATTAACACTTTCCAGGGGGGAAATGCGTGCATTTATCCATAGTTATACATTATTTCTCTAAATGAGATCATAGAATAACGGCTATTCCTCTGAGCGTCCTCTGCGTGGTGGCCGGCAGATCCTGACTCCCTCACTGCGTGTTTGTTCTGACATAAAAGTCTGGTTCCACCTCCTTAGACACTCAAGTGGGCGGGGACCTGACACTGGAAGTCCCAATTTCTTTTTTTCTTGGCTTCATGCCCTGTCCCCCGCCCCACAACAGCCTCTGAAATCAGGAGTCCCTCTCAGGTGGCTTTTCGGTCCCGATGGCTCTGCAGACTCCAAAGACAACGGGCCAACTCCAGTGTTTTGAACTATGAAGCCTCCTGTTTTTGAGTCTTAAAGGGTGTCAGTGGCCCTTTTAAAACCTCCCCCGCCGTTACTTCAAACCTGCCCACGCCGTGCTCTTTGGTTAAAGCCACTTCTGAGAGACCGGCAAGTGGCTTTAACCAAAGGTCTGTAGGGGCCAGCAGGGCGCTCGGGCTTCTTCCAGCCAACATGGGGTTCTGGGGCGACGGGAAAGGTGTCAGGGGAGATGTCCCAGAGAAACACTGACAGCCTTCCTCCTAGATTATCCGTGTCCTCTGGTGGTACTACTTCTCCAAACTCATCGAGTTCATGGACACCTTCTTCTTCATCCTGCGCAAGAACAACCACCAGATCACGGTCCTGCACGTCTACCACCACGCCTCCATGCTGAACATCTGGTGGTTCGTGATGAACTGGGTCCCCTGCGGCCACTGTGAGTCTCACGTGGAGGGGGCTTGGGGACAGGTGTGAGCAGAAACTCCCGGTTGAACCGAAGGGTCGTAGACAAGGAGCCGTTTCCGTAGATTTCTAGGTCAAGCACTCGAGTGTTGTGTCCGGGGTGCTTCTCACAAGAGTCTGTGTGGCCTGTGTGCTCAGTACGCGGCCAGGAGCTTTTCCTGGTTTAGTGAATGGTCTGTGCTGATCTGGGTAGGAGGAGCGAAATAATGAATCCCCAGCCTGGGGCATGTTAAGAGACAGGGACAGTGTTCTCTGCCAAGCAGGGCTGCCGTTCCAGGTCATTTCTAGTATCTCTCTGCCTCGTGGAAGATGTTTGACTGGCGGGCAGGCCAGGAGGATGCAGTCACACCTTGGAGTGAGCGCCAGAGAGCAAGGCTGATTATGAAATAGAGCTTTTGCTATGCGTTGCATCAGGGAATCCGCACATTTTCTAATGTCATGAACCCTCACATTCTATGAAACACGTTGAGCAGGGTGTGGGTGGCTTTGGACAGTTTTTGATGGGACTCTCCTATTACTGTCAGAGAGTAAGTTGTCACCTTCGGGCTCAGCATGGGAGTTCTCACAAATGTCCCAATTCCTGTCATCCATCACTGCCAGATTTGACTGAGAACCTTTAAGCCGATTCTCATTTTTTTTTTTTTTTTCCCTCCTGGGATAGCACTGCCCTTAATTCAGTCGGCTTACCAAGAGTCACACAGTCATAGAATTTTAGGACTACACAGGGCTTTCCACATACAGCTCCTTCCAGCTGAAGAGAAAACAGACGGTAGGAGGGTTGGTACAGAACCCTCGCTAGTCTTGTTGCTTTTCTCACCATCGATACTCTGTGGCTGAGGATTAACTGACTTAACTCTCTCGCAGAAACAGCACCTCATTACCTTTGAAGAGTGTTTTACATTTTCAAAGAACTTACAGGATGACAGATTTTAAGCTGGCCCAGGAGAAACAACCAGAGAACGAATGTGACTTGTCCAGGGTCACACAGCCAGGTGCTGTCTTAGCCAGGGATACAAACTCATTTCCTGATTCCAGCTTTGTTCACCTCCGACTGCACAGGGAAAAGCCAGGCGGCTTTGTTGGTTTCCTGCTGTGGAGGAGAACAGAGAATCAAAAAAAAAAAAGTGAATCCTACTGGAAATTAAAAATCATGCGATAAAGGCGGGCCTTTCATCTCTAAGGAACTAGACTCTTATCTGTGTTAGCAATAAAAATATATGGCCTCAGTGCTGCAGTCCTGGGGAATAATTAGGAAGCGACTTCAAAGGCCTCCACAACGCTCAGCCATGTTCAGGGACAGACAGCTTTGAGCACAGCGCCCTCACTGTCTTCCCCAGCCCTCAACGCAGCAGCCTGGGGCCCTGGGCTCGCAGAGAGCAGCAGCTCCCGCAGTCAGTGGGCAGTGGGCAGTGGGTGAGGCTCTGGCGGCAAAGCCTTCTGGTATCTCAGCAGGGCAGGTGCTTTCATGGCGGCTGTTAGATGCTCACCTGGAAGCGACAGCTGAGCCTGGGCTTGGAGCCCCTGACGGCTGCCCGGCCACGTGGAAGGTGAATTCCGATTGCACCTCTGAGGAGTGCTGCTGCAGTGTTTGCTAGCCCCTGTTCAGAATCCTCTGATTTCCAGATTTAAAAAGAACCTTGGGTTTTGTTGTATTGCTTGTTATGTATAAAACACTGATGCATCCTCTCCTCCAAACCCTCTCTGTCCCTGCAGCTTATTTTGGTGCCACACTTAACAGCTTCATCCACGTCCTCATGTACTCATACTACGGTCTGTCTTCTGTCCCTTCCATGCGCCCGTACCTCTGGTGGAAGAAGTACATCACGCAGGGGCAGCTGGTGAGTGACCCTCTGTCCCCAGCACTCCCTGCCGGGGTCACAGAGCTCTTCCTGTGCTCTTGCTGCCTTCCTGGCCTGATTGATGTTAACAGCACCCACCCTATGCCTTTCCCACCCTTCCTCATTGGTTCCAATTAAACAAATGAGGCAGAGCGGGTGTGCAGCTAGTTGAGTTGCATAATAAGGACCAGAAGCTAATTTTCTGACTTCAAGTTCAGTCCTGTGTTCTCAGTTTGTGCACAAAGCGTGTGTGTGTGTGTGTGTGTGTGTGTGTGTGTGTGTGTGTCTAGGTGTTTTCTAAATGTAACCCAGAATCCAAAGTGAAAGCTGTCTGTGTTCCCAGGAGTTTGAGAAGGAGCGTGGAGTGGCATCAATGCAGGGTGCTTGCAGCTTAGTAGGCAGCGAGGGTATTTGCTAAGGCAGATGCGGTGACCGCAGCTCCTGGGTGATGGAGCGCCTGGGGTGAGAATGACACCCGCTGTGCTCTGAAGCCCCTCCTTGGGTTCGCTGTGCCCAGGACACCAGCAGCTGTCACACCTGCTGCTTATTTCTCACCATCCTTTCCTCAAACTTTCCCTAGTGTCAGTATCTTATAGATCCCTATTCCTGTCCCCTCCTGAATTCTTCCACAATCTCATCATTAATACTATCGCTACTAAGGATACACGCTGCCATTTGTGGAATCGACTACGTCGGGCACTCATACTAAGTCTAAGTGAGCAGTTTGGCATGGATTGTTCCAGTAGTCTGATGTCACGTTAATACCCCCATTTTGCAGAAAGGGGCCCTGAAGCAATAACTAGCTGGGGGGAGGTGAGGAGGGGGGTGGACTTAGACATTATACCCGCAGCCCTGCCTGTTAACAATTTTCTGAAGAAACCAAGCGGATTCAGATCCCTCCAAAAACTGAGATTTTTCAGTATTTAAAAATAACAATCTGGGAAAACAAATCAGAGAGCTGAGCCCTTGGTGTGTGTGGCATTTCATTATCACCTCCTGCCGGTGGCTCTGCAGTCCTTGTGAGCTCTTCCTCTCCCCGCCCCCCTCCCCAGGAGGGATAATTGTTCCTCATCTTCATCTTCTCGTTAAGCAGCGAGGAGGAGGAGGAGGAGGAGGAGGAGATTGGCGTGCACCACACAGCCGCAGGCCCGCAGAAGCAGAATGTAAAAGAACCAACGGGATCCGGGAAGCGGCCTCCTAGGAGGCTCTGCCCTTTGGGGCAGAAGGTCACATGCAGTTTGCTGAGGTTTATTTTGAGCACCTCTCCTAGTTATGACTCAGCCTAGAGTTCTTACCTTAAAAAGGAGAAGCAGAAAAAGAAGGAACCAGCTTTTATTTAGGAACACCGGTAGCTGGGCCCGAAATCCAGCGGGCAGAGCCTCGCCCTCTATGTTACTCCTCCTGAAGATGCCTCCTCCAGCAGCCACACTTCATTCAAACACTCCTGCCTCCGTTTCCCAAGCACTCGCACATGCTTTTCAAGATTTACTCATCAAAAACATGCTATGGACTTCCCATTGTGTCCTGATAAGAGTTTAAATCTTCTTGTCAGCCTTCAAACCTACAGGGAACAGAGACAAGGAATAGGATTGTGTCCAGCGGGATGGGACATTCTGCAGTGACATCACTGGTTTCTTTAAGCATGCGCCCCACTCCTTCCTCCCTTAAAGAAGCAACCTGCATCACTCTCTATTTGTCCCTCAAGTTTCCGTGTGTGTTTTGGTGGTGGTGGTTGTTGTTGTTTTAACATTTTCTTTTTGTCTCCAGCTTCATTGAGACATAAAATATTGTATACGTTAAAGGTGTACAGCAAGCATGTCAAACTCAAAGACTAACACAGGCCAAATAACCAAGACATGCAGCCCACAGGCCACGAGTTTGACATATAATGATTTGATAATATGTGTGTTTTATGAAATGATCACGATAGTGTATCCAGTTAACATCTTTCACCTTGTGTAGTTACAAGGTTTTTTTCTTGTGATGAGAACTTTAAGAAGTACTCAGAGCAACTTTCAAATACACGAGACAGTGTTGTTAACTATCCTCTGAATTGCAGGAAAGGTGGTTTAAATAGCTTGGAGGGGAGGAAGAATGTACATAAGACAGAAAGGCAGTAGTTTGGGTAGTTTGGGATGAGTTTGATGTCTGCTTCGTGTTTGTGGTCCCTACAGAAAGGCAGATAAGTGTAATTGGCAAGTGGGGGGTGCAGGGGAAGGAGCCAGGCTGGCATGGCCCCGTGTCCACGGCTGTGCCCCACGCTCAGCTGTGTCCTCTCTCCCCCCCAGATTCAGTTTGTGCTGACAATCATCCAGACCACCTGCGGGGTCATCTGGCCATGTTCGTTCCCTCTTGGTTGGTTATATTTCCAAATCGGATACATGATTTCCCTGATTACTCTCTTCACAAACTTCTACATTCAGGTAAGTCTCCCTCCTCGGTGGCAGTGGGGCTGTGGGCTTTATCAGCAGAGGCCGTCGCCTGTTTATCTAAGGGGGGCGGGTAGACTCTGGGCAGTGGGCACTAACAGTCACGGGGCAGGGCAGCCCCTGCCTTTGGGAGCGGAGGGTCCCTGCTAATGTAGAAGACGCTAAATCTGTCCCGGACTTCCCGAGTTCTAGATTTGGGCAAGGGAGGTTTGGGATTTATGTGGGAAAGCAAAACTGTTCAGCAGGTTCCTGTGTCGCTTCCCTTAAGACCTGCGGCAGACACGTGGTAGGTGATTTTCAGCCAGAAGTCTCACAGCCCCGCTGCTCTGAACCTCGCCGCTGAATTAAATGTCCGAAGAAATCTCCATCTCAGTCCATCAGCTATAGATAGAAATCTGCCCTTTGTCCCAGTTTTCTTGCACATCCACTTCTCGTTTGCAGCTCAGCTCATTTCCAAGGGCATGAGGTAATGCAGGTCCTTGCTCACAGAGGGGTCCACTTAGGGCCAATTATCTCCGGTGGAGTCTGACCACTTTACAGCCACTGCCGGTTCTCCTGCCTCCCATTACCCGCTCCCGGAGGCAGTATCTGGTTCCAGGGCAGGCACAGGAGATCAGGAGCAAGGGCAGAGGCCACAGATGCCCGGGCAGTAGCACCTGGTCGTGTCTAGCAGCCACCTGGCAGCTCAGCCATGATTCCGCCTCCTCGTGCTCCCCTGTACCTTGTTCGCACATACCTGGAGGGGAACGAGGTTAATGTTAGGGTGCCGGCCTCGCATAGCACGGACACATGCTGCTATCTGCCCTGTGTCTTTCAGACTTACAACAAGCAGGGAGCCTCCCGGCGGAAAGAGCACCTGAAGGACCACCAGAACGGGTCCCTGACTGCCGCCAACGGACACACCAACAGCTTTTCATCCCTGGAAAACAATGTGAAGCTGAGGAAGCAACGGAAGGATTGAGGTCGAAGAGTTGCAAACCTCCCCACCACGTCGTCTGATTGTAAGCACAGTATGAGTTGTGCCCGATGCTCGTTAACAGCTGCTGTAACTAGTCCAGCCTACAATAGCGTGATTCACGTAGGACCTCTTTCACCACTTCAAAACCCCTAGGAAATGTATACAGATTTAGACAAGTAGGCATAAGATTTTTAACATTTCTGGGCTCTCGCCGACCCCTGCGCCACGCCGCGGAGGGAGTGTTATTGTAGTATATGACACTGCTGTTGCCTTATTAGTTATAACATGATAGGTGCTGAATTGTGATTCACAATTTGAAAACACTGTAATCCAAACTGTTGTGTTTTTATTTTTACTGTAGATCATGCATGTGATTGTAAATTTGTACAATGTTACAGTAGAGAAACACACATGCCTTAAAATTTAAAAAGCAGGGCCCAAAGCTTACTAGTTTAAATTAGGATACGTTTCAAGTTGTGATTCATTTTCCATAGCTCTGATTAGAAAAAAATCAAAGACCATGATTGATGAAATTAGCGTGCGACACATTTTCAGGTGACTTGTGTGTGTGAAATCAGAAACGGCACCTTTTGTAATACTGGCTTTAAATCAGGCAGACTCAAATCTAGTGGAACAGTCAGTTTAACTTTTTAACAGATCTTATTTTTTTATTTTGAGTGCCACTATTAATAATGTAAAAAGGGGGAGGGGGGCGCTAAAGCAGCCTTGATGAAACGTAAATATATATTCTTTATCTTCAAGATTTTCGGAAGTGTGTAGGATGAGTAGGCCGTGTGTCATTTCTGAAGTGCTAAGTGTTTTCATGTGGGAAACAGAGCCCATTTTGCTTTCCACTCAAGCTGAGAGCAGGAGATCAGCTTTTCCAGCGGGAGGACTGATTGTGTGCCATTTGACAGCCTCCCACAGGTGAGCAATGGCTGCCAGGGTCCAGACACAGATTGATTTCTGTACCGCTATCTGTTTTGACACAAACTTCCTTTTAAAATGTGCCTCGCTTACCAAAATTAATAAAGAAAGAGGGGGTGGGGGGAGGACTTCCATAAAAAAAGAAAAATGTAAGATGAAATTAAACAGGTATTTATAGCACAAGAGAACTGGGAAATTGGCTAGAGATCGTTTGTTTAATGTAAATCTAACAGCACCTGTTGTTTTTTTCTGCTTGGAATCTTAAGGTTTGTTCAGAACTGCTTGTTTAAAAAGAATCGAGTGCTTGTAAAGTCATGTCTCACTTCTGAGAGGGGGCAGTGGTCAAACAGATATGGAATATTGTGTGTGTCATTTTAAGGTGTTGGGATTCAGTCTTCTCCATTGAGACTTGAACCACTTGTGACCATCTTAGAAAGTCATTGACAATGTATAAATGAATTGTTGGTTTGGTATTTATGTAAATATCATGCTTTAATTTTGCACATTCGTATTTTAGGGAGCCACATGGTTCTCTTAGTCTTGTGGGTTTTCTGTTTGGAAGGAGTCAACAGCATCTGTTTACATTTACCTGATCAAATCTAGAATGTGTATATTTGTAAATGTATGTCCTCCTAGGTACTAGTTTGCGAAAGTCTTTACATATTTCAAACAGAAACTATAACATTCGGTAGTGTGCTGTCAAAGTGTGCTTAGCTCATCTGGATATTCCCACACTGTTGCAAAAAGTCCGAACATTAATCATTAAAACATTTTTGATTACCTGTGTTTGCGTTCTACGTTGTTTTTGTGCTGCCAATTATGAAAGCCTGGAGAAAAGACCACTTTTTTCACCTTCTCAGAATTCACACAGATAGATGTCAGTAATTTGGTGTGAAAGGTTACGTTGCCCAGCTCACATGATGAGGAGGGATGGCCACATAGAAAGACATGGTGGTGGTCCCTCCCTAACTCCTTCCTCTCTGCCTTTTCCCACAAAGGTCCTGGCTCTGAGAATACTCCTTTTTCCTTCCTTCCTTCCTTCTCTCCCCACTCCCTCTCCTCACACTTAAAGTTACTTTCCTAAGTCAAGACCAGAGCTTCACATGTTTTTAGTGTAGAGAGCCAGATAGTATACCTGGTTTGCTGACCCCCTACTCTAAAGTACTGAGGTCCCATCTTGGTCCCAAAGTTGTATCACTTTCTTTGCCAAAGACCATTTCTTGTCCCAGATCCTGGCCCCTCCCAGCCCACCCCACTGTGGACCTCCATGTCCATCCATGTCCCCCGAGGGAGTAATGACATGAGGGGCCCCTCTTCCTTCTATCCACTTCATACCACACAGACTCCTGTGTAGGCTTGACCCAGGCTCCTGAGTGGCTTTTAGTTTGTCAGCATCACCTTTAACCCTTTGTACTCCGTAAGCGTGTTATAGATGCACGCTGGATGGTTTCTGTTTTGGACGCATGGCAGTTAACTGGTTAAAATCAGAAACTGCACTTGGTATTTGGGATATTATCTGAAAAGTACAAAGGACAATTGGAGGTTTGCTGGTGATGATTAATCATATCCTGTCTTTCCCCTCTTTACGCCCAGAACAAATTTAGAAAACAGGACATAGAAGTCAAACTAATGGAAATCAAGATAGCTCATCTCTTACTGAGACAACTGGATTGATGAAGCTGAGATCACAATAGGGCTAAGTACCCTGACTCACAGCCCTGTTAGCATAAGCTTACCAGGACTGGACCAGCCACATCGGTGGTTCATGTCCTGCCTCTCTTCTGCTTGCTGGTCTGGTGATGAACTGGTAATGAAAATACTTTGACTATCAGCCCTGGAATTGACGCACTTAAACTACAAGCTCCCCTTGTAGCCAAATTCTGCCCCAATAACCTTGCCATGCCGAGAGTGTGCGCTCAGTGGCCTCTCCCAGTCTTAGCAAACAGAACATCGCCCTCCTCCCCTCAGGGAAGTGAGTGGGTAAGAGGGCAGAGAAAGGCAAGATGTGCGCCCACACTTTTCCCTCTCCTGTGTGCAAGAGAGAGGGCAAGTTCGCTCACCTGTACGGAAAAGGGATATTCCCATTTCCCCTCTTTATCGGCCTTGCCATTCATGTGGAAAGGCAGGATCGCCTGATGTGAGAAGCGGGATCTGGGGGTCACATTGCCTGATTTTGGAATCCTACCTGTATGACCTTGAGACCCATTGCTTTTACTTTGCCGCAGTGTTCTCGTCAGCCAAATGAGAATAATGTTAGTACCTACATCATGGGGAATTAAATAGATAAAGGATACAAAAAGCCCTTGGAATCATCTCCTCTAGCACAGAGTAAACTATTGAAAGTGTTATCTGTTACCTTAAAGATTGTGTTCTGCTCGATCCACCTCACTGGTCTCTGCACTCTCTGCTAGTGTTTTACTGGTATTTCCTTGGCTGGTTGCTCTAGCGATCCTATCAGAGAGGGAAGGAAGTTAGCTTGGTATGACACTTTCTTTGTTGAATCAGGATCTGGAAAGAAACCAGCAGTCGTTAGGAGTCAAAATGCTCACCCTCTATATTCTAGATTTGGCCAGAGTTTACCATTAACTCACCATTCTGGAGTGTCCAGAATCTACTTCATTTCCCCTTTGGAAAACAGGGTGGTGTCTTCAGTCTCTGGTCTTCTTTTCATTATTTCTCCCCAAGTTTCGACAGCGATACAGCCACCACCCACAGGTTGTTTCCGTGTCTGGATGTGTTTACTCTGAACTCATTTTCAAACACATGCCTCCTATTGTCCCCTCCTCAGCCTGAGACTTCAGATGCTAACCTGGTTGTTCTCCACACTCTTTATTTGGAAAAGAGTGTCTGATGGGGAAGAAGGTGTTTGCCTTTGTTCTCACCAGCCACTAGTTCTCATTCCGAACATTTAAAATGCATTTCTGTCATCCTTGACATTATTAGGATGTCTTCTCTCTCTTCCAATCTACTTATGGCACTCACCCAAGGGGAGAAGGATCCTAGGCTGATTTTTGCCATAATTTGTGTGAGATGCCTGTACCGGGCTTGTGGTTCAAGGTCATGGGAGATGTGTTGTGCTCCCAACTGGAAGCTGCAGGAACAAGCAAAGAGGAGCCCAGTAATGGAAGATGCAATGGAGGCAGAGGTCTGAGCACACAGTTACCCCCTTTTCCAGATCATCCAGACTCTCCTGAACGGGGCTTAGTGTCCCCTCTGTTGCCCATATATGTTCTTGAGTTGACCAGACCTTTGAAGAATGTGCCTGCTCCCCTGGGAGAGTCCTTGGAACCAGATGTATGGAGCAAACCCGGGTCTGTGAGAAACGACTTCAGTCCCCGCAGGAGCCTTTGCTACATTGGGATCAAACATGCCCACAGGCACCTTCAGCACCGGATGGTTTGTGGCGAGTGCCATGCAATGGACAGAAGCCAACTAGAAGGGTCCAGGAGAGAGAACTCTGCCAGCAAGGTACGAAGAAGAGCTCTGTGAAGGCCATGGGCTTGATCTGAACCTGCAAAGCCAGTCTGGGTTCCCGTAGTTGGTGACAGAAGGTTGCTTGGGAAACAGCATTGCAGGCCTGAGTGAAGGAGCTGAAGGCTGAGTCAGTGCGAGCACATGTCACTGAACTATTGAGTGTATGGGGAAAGTGCTTATTTTTAAAACTAGGTAAAGAGGAAGAGGGTGAAATCTGGGTGTTCTCATTGATGAAACGAGGAGAACGTTGCTCAGAGTCCCCAGGGGAAGTAGTCATTATGCCTTGCAGACTCATCCTTAACAACACCTCCTGCTAAGGAGGAGCAAGAAGGTGACTTGCCAAGATGTGGGACTCACGTCTGAGTTATGAATAGACAGGAATCCTCTGCCCGACAGGCAGGTGCAAAGGGGGCCTCAGCCCTTCTGAAAATCCCTCCTCACATGGCATCTGAAGTCTGAAAACTTGGAACACTTTGTTATCACATATCACCACTGGCATTCTTGGTTCACATAATGGGCATATACACAATGGAATACTACTTAGCATTAAGGACAAAATACTGCCATTTGCAATAACATGGATGGAGCTTGAGAATATTATGCTAAGTAAAATAAGTCAGAAAAAGCTAAGAACCATATGATTTCACTCATGTGGGATATAAAACTGAAACTCGTGAACCCAAGCAGCAGTGCGGTGGTTGAAGACGGTAGGGGGAAGGGGTCCTAATATCAGGTGACAGGAGAAGATTGGACTCTGGGTGGTGGGAACACAATGAAATTCATAGAAACCCACTCCTGAATCCTGAATGACCATACTAACCAATGTCACCCCAATAAATTTAATAAAGAAGGGAAAACATAAAACACCCTAAAAATGGGCATAGAGATGGATTTCCCTGGTCAGTGAATTTGACAGTGTTTTTTAATCAAGGCAAATTGTATGCCTTCCCCTTGACTATGTTTCCAATCCGACAAGTGCCTATTTGTAGCAAACCATCAAGGCCCGGTCCCGCCAACCACATGCCTTCGCGTACTCCCTCATGAAGTGCTAAGGTTGCCAGTCATGTGGAAGGCCATGTGACCACTGGCTGCTCACTGTACTGTTCACAGAGCTCCGGCCCTCTGCCCTAGGAGTCCTGGTAACTGTTGCTGGGGAAACAACAATGAAAAGATAACCTCATTCTGAAAGACAAAATAATTATAAATCTAGGAACTATTCCAAAGGAAACAACCAGGATACTAACAGTGAGAATAATCCTAGTGATTAGTTTGAGGCATAAAGGACATTGGAATTTTCACGAATGTGTTTAAGTTGCTAGTTCATCTTTTTGAACTGAGTAAGATATTGGAAGTGTCATATCTTCTCTAGAAAGTCATCGGAAAGCTGTGTATAGACTGTTTTCCACCCAAAGGACAGCCCCTCGCCATGCATGAGTGGGTCCTGCACTTGGCTCTGGTGACTGTGGGCACTCAGGGACATGGCGATTGCTGCTACCCTTGATTGCACAGCCCATGCATGATGGGCAGGCCTGGACATTCATAACCTGTCATGTTAACGTGTCATCATAGAGTTATCTCTTAGATGATTTTTTAAAATGACAAGGATCCAAATGTAAGTGAAATTCAATTGTGAATGTTAGTACTAATGTCAACCGAGGACAAGTAGGTCAATGGATGCTTTTCATACATGGCGATGGCACACCCTGCCTGACAGCTGGCAAGGTTCTTTCATGAGAATAAGGCAAATCTCCATTTCAGAAAGTCTAAAACAATGTGTGTGTGTTGGGAGGGTGTGTCTGCATTATAACCTCACGCCATTCTGGGAGATGTAGTAGGACTAGGCAGCCCACTCGAGGCTAAGACACTTGAGGGCAGGAACTGCCTCTTATTTGTGTCTACATCCCTAATGTGTGCCCAGCAGCTGATCCATAAATGTTTTGATGAATGAATGGAAGTCCTAAGAAAGGATTATATAATTTGGTGCAAGGAAAACAGGTTTTCCAGCCAGTTAGATCTGAGTTTAAACCCCACCATCACTTAATAACCATGTGTCCTGTACTGAATGTATGTGTCCCCTTCAAATTTATATGTTGAAACACTGCCCCCCAATGTGATGATATTAAAAGATGGGCTTGGGGAGGTAATAAGGGTTAGAGGAGGCCAGGAGGGTGGAGTAGGGTCCTTATGAGTCACAGGAGCTCTCAATCGCTGCTGTGAGGATTCAATGAGAGTCAGACGCCTGCAACCCAGAAGAGAGCCCTACCAGGACCCGAGCATGCGTGCACCTGATCTCAGATTCAGCCAGAAT